CAAACTCAGTCATGACTGGCTGGTGTGTTTTGGCGTGTTTCTTCTCACATTGCTCCCAACAGAGCCACTGGCAGAGTACTGGTCTTGCATGAACTTACCTGAAGGCTTGGGGACAGGATCAGCCTCTTCCTCCTCCTTTTCCTCTACCTCCTCATCAGCTAGATAGGAGAGATAGGGTATAGGTTGAACTGTAGCTGGCTGTTGTGAGAGACTGTCAGAATGAGACTGAAAGTGTGTTTTGACTTCATCTTTCTCAGAGGATAGCTCCCCAACCGCCAGACTCTCTCCAGCTGAGAACAAGATACTAACTCGTCTTAGGGCAGACCCACATTATAGTATTGACTTACTGGAAAGCTGCTCCAGAGAAATATCTCGTGTGTCTCTAGAGTGAGGCAAGGTGCTTTGTTTGCTGGTGACTTTAAAGTGACTGATTGAGAAAAGACCCTTCATAGTCTTTTTCCTGCAGAGCACACACAACTGTGTAGGTATGAAAAAACATTCCCAATGCACATCTACACCTTCTCATTAGCCAGATAGTAGCAAGGATGCCCAGAGTAGCTCCAATAAAAAGCAGAACAGACACTATCACACCAGCCACTACTCCACCAACATCACTGCCACCTTCTCTAGTATCTGCTGTGGTAGGAGGAGATGCTTCAGTGGTTGTCACTACAATGTTGGGTGAGTCTGTATAGCATGCATACGTACAGGGTATACTGATATAATGCATAGCATATAGCTACCTGTGGTGCTTGCAAACAAGCTTTCATTAGTGAACGGTCCAACGGCCACAGTGAAAGCAGCAACTTTAATCTCATACTCAGTCGATTGTTCTAATCCATGTGATAGTGAACTCCCTATCAACTCCAGTAGTATTTTATATGGAACATTTCCTTCCCATTTTCTCTACAACATCACCCACATAACTAGTGATATTTCATTGCGATCAGCACATGGCACAGGACCCCATTTTTCAGCATGGTTGTCGATGAACTTCCTTCCCATAACATTTCTATGGAGATGCAGATGGTGCTGAAAAAATGGGCAATTTTTAAGAATCGTACAAGATTATGAATGAACACACCAGTGCATTAGTCACTACAGTCTTGAAAGTACAGATAGAGCCATTTATGCAAAGTTGATGTTATACTCGGTGAATACGTTCAGACCATCTCATCACATAAGAGGCTGCCCATTCACGAATCGTTCTTTAAACTTTGATCTACATTTTGGGTACAATGGCTTGTAGAGTGCTGATCCACTGTGATAGGATTCCATACTCAACTTCAGGCCACGATAGTTAATGGCAGTTGATGTTGTTGATATCACATGAACTTCAACTGCACACAAAAGAACTTGGTAACTATCATATGTGCCTCAAGTACTGAACTCACATAGAACTGTCAATGCTGATATGTTTTCCAAAAACTCCTCTGCCAGCTGTGTTGTTTGCTGCCACTTGAATCAAGTATGTGGTTGATGGCTGCAAGTCTGTTCGGGTATAATCTGCACCATCATGGACACTGTTCCAACACTGCTGTCGGTATTTTCCACCGTCTTTTTTCGTATATCCGTATTTCATATCCTGTTATATTCCCATTCTGATGGGCACAGTCACAGTGCTGCCACTGATGGTGATGGTGAAGAGGGTCTGGTTTACTGCCACATGTCTTGTGGTGGGGCAGATGGTGCTGGCAGAATAATTCAACATGACATGTAAACGTTTGCTTTCAATGGGTAATGAATGTCCTGATGGCTGAGTCTGATTAGAAAAACTCTGTGTTCTGCTACCGAGCATTACTTACACCAGTGTCATATTGTATCCGTTAGGAACTAGTCCGGTAATGCTGTAGATTCATTGGATTCACATAATGTCTGGTCAGCACTGAGCCTCCAACAACCATTGTTACAGTGCAAAAATCTCAACCAGTCACATTGGTCATAATACGATAGATCCCATTTTCTACATAGTTACTAAAGTTTATCATCAATGAGAAACCATCGCTAGTAGATACCACATCAATGCTGATATTACCTGGATTGGTAACTTTAAAAAGAGAAGATATAATTTTGTGAGACAGAAACTTCTAGCAACAAGGAAAAAATTACCTAAAGTTATATTCCGGGTTGTAATATTACTTGGGAGATCTGAAACACTAACCACAGAAACACTGTAGCACTGCCTTGCCATCAAGCCTGTCAGTGTTTCAACTGTCGAGGAATTAATCACTGTGTGATTGATACAGTCAGAGGAGGCGCACTGAGTCCAGAACACTCTGTATCCTGTAATGTTTGCAGACTGGGGAGGTGGACTCCATGATGCATTGATGCTTGTCTCATTATTTTGCTCCAGGGTCAGATTAGTAGGTGGTGGTGGAACTGGAATCATTATAATAGCGTAATGTACCAACAATATGTACCACTGCCATCCCTGTATTATACTTACTTACCGCTAACTGTGATACTCGATGAGTTACTGGATGGCTTGTTATTGGACACAGTACATGTGTAGTTTCCTCCCAGAGTCCCAGTCACAGTCAGAGTGTGGGTGTACTGTGCATTCACTGGGTCATTCAACACAGTCTCAGCAGTTCCTTGTGTGACAGTGGTGGAGTCTCTGGTCCAAGTGACAGTGGTAGCAGGTCCACCAGTAGAGATACAGGTGAGGATTAGTTGGGAAATACCACAACTATCCATCTCTAAATTTGTTTTCATCTCAGTTACAGCGATATCAGCTAATGAATGACAATAAAAGTTGTTGGTGTTGCTAGGACTCCTCACCTCCATTGAGATAGAGTCCAATATACACTGTATCTCGTACACTTTTAGGAGTGTCATCATGGACTGCAAGTGTTGGTATGTCGCAGCGATATATACCAGATGTACCCTGTGTCCTACGGCGAAGATCAACCCTTTTACCACCTCGATTCTCAAAAACAGCTTGTTTAGGAGAATTGAATGGAAGTATGGTCCCATTAGGAAAGTACCAGTCTCCTCTGTGAGATCCAAGTGAAACACTGCAGCATGTTTCAAGATCAGTCTGACACTGAACACTGCTACTACCACTGGCATCATTCCCCACAAGGCTGAGGTCCACATAGCTATGGTTTGTCAGATTTTGTCCTTTGAAGCTGACAAATGGAAATGTCTGAGCCAACAGACAGTGAATACATGCAGAGATCAGGATACACACTTCTAAATCCTTTGACATCTGCATATTTTTTTAAAATCACGGAAACTATGAATGAAGTAAATGCTAACTCTGTAACTAGCTAGCTAATCCTCGAATAAGAGTCTAGCTCTACACGCCGACAATAGCCTTGGATTTGGCTGACAGCGCGAGCTCTCAGCTATGTATAACCTAGTCTGATGCCCACGCGATGACTGGTTATTGGACACACGCAGTACGCCAGTAGTTATAGCGCGTGATGACCTCCCACGCACGCACACACGAACACAAGGGTTTCACGCATGCGCACGCACTTTCGAACGACGACACCCCCCCCACAGCACATCTCATGAAAATCTGATGTGACGATAACATAAAAACTTATGTTGTAAAATTTGAGTATGTTTCAAATGAGTCAATGAACACCAAAAGAGCTTCATAAATTGACTGATACTGTTCCTGTTGAATGAAAGCACCAGTTCAGTAAATGCAAAGAATTATGAAGGCTATACACATACCAAAGTTTGTATGGCTCCAGGTTTCTGAACTCTCATGGCCTTGACCACCTGGAACACATCCACCACTCCCTCTGTCTTACACCTCTCAATGGTGGTGGCCACACCACAGAATATGGCTGATCTACTCACTGTATCACTGTATAGCAATAGATTTGGATAACTACAATGTTCAGAACTCAAGGAGTTCAGTCACTTTGCTATTGAATATACTTACACTCGATAACAGTTAAGATGAACTCGCGCATGTCTAGTAAAGGGTCGTCAGTTGTATCTGGGAGGAATAATAAGTTTGGCCTGTTTGTGAGGACATTTGCTAACACAGAGCTGTACAATGAACTGCCTTCCATTTGATAGGGTTAATAGCTTTTAATGTGCATTAAAATTTTTACGTCCATGTCAGTAGGAAAATGGGTTGCTGGCCTTGCAGTTGCTTTTTTGTCCATTGACAGCTTGATAATGATCCACTAGCTAAAACTCACAGTCCATGGACGACAATGGGGTGGTTCCCAGTCTTCCTCTGGACTTGGAGACTTCCTCTATGACAGAGACCATGGCATTCACATCCCCACGCCACTGGTAGTCTGAGCTCCACTCTGGGATGTGGAACTGCCACACCTGATGGGCTGTGGCAAACTGCAAGTTCAAATCAATAGTGCATGGTATGTTGTACAGTGTAAGAGCTACGAACTAACTCCCCTTCTCTATTTTGCTTACCTTGGCCTGCTGGACAGAGAAGTTTCTGTATAAGAATCCACTCTTCCACCCCTCACTGAGCAGCTCTACTCTGAACTCCCCATATGTCTGTGCTCTCTTCCCAGGCCAGTACTGGTAGCACACCTCCTGGTATACCACAAACGATTACATCACCTCTTAATGAAACACAACTCTCAAGCTAAACCTAGATTTTACAGTACACCATTGAGTGGGGCAGATTCAGTGGATTGTGGTTTGATCTTTCATCTTTCACAAGCAGAAGTTTACGACGCTCTTGTGCAAGCAAGTGTCGTACAATCAAATCTAGTCTATTACAGAGGTTAAAACATATCACCATCATATAGAAATGTGTCACCTCATCAAGTTCAATGAGGTCTGATAACATGACGACCACACTACACTTCCTGCTGTAGACCATCTTCCAGAAGTCTCTGGCAGTGGAGCGCATCGGTCCCTGTGTGATGATGAACGCTCTGTGCTTCTTGTAGCCCTGCAGACACAGCATGGGAAATACATTGCTCTGGGCCTACCTCTTCCAATAGAAACACAGATAGAGCAACAGTTTCTTACATGGACACTGCTAGTATGTATGTAGTCTGGATTTTCTCCTTTCAAAACAACTCTCCAATTGTCCACTGTGTGTTTGGGAAGGGAACACAGGTCACTTGGGTAGCACATTAGGATGTGTGTTGGGAAATGACCTGGTAAGAAGTCAGTAGATCTATTCTTGGCGAGGTTGTTTTGTGCAGCAAATGACTTTGCCTCTCCTACGTTTGAACTGACTTGGTCCAGGATCTGCATAATTTCATCAACACACTCATCAAAGACACATGTTTAACAACGTGTACTGAAGACTTTTTCTGCTACCATCCACAATGGGGTTTGCCTCTGCCCTGGAAGTTCAGCAGGTAGCTAGAACGCTATACCCTTAAAGGAAATTTTCCGTCCAAACCACTTGGACAATTTCTGGGATTGTTTGCGTGTACTGTTAAGAGCAATCTTACGGCAAACTGTAGGTCAAGTCCAGAGCGACCAGACTCGTCTTTGGTCTTGAGTTGAGCCAGTCTCTTCCTCAAGTCTCCAGCCTCAATCTCAGTATCTCCACATGTGACTGACTCCAGTATAGCATCATGGATGAAGATGTGCTGGTCCTGAAAGAACAAGAAGAAGCAATGAAAAACACAACATCACTTTGAAAGTGTATAGCAAATTTAAAATCTGAAAGTATACACAACAAAAGTACCACCATAAAACACATCAGACATGCACAAAGACTGAGGAGGAGCACTTTATATCGAATGTGTTTGCATGGAGGGCTTAAAGTAGGTTGAAAAACAGTGCAATGTGTGTGTGTACCAGAGTCTGGACCATGTTGGTTCTCTGTTGTCTGAGTTTGAGGATGACTCCAGGGATGTCCACCACTCCCTCTGTCTCCCTCTGCTCCAGGACATGGTCTATGGCTATGAATGTCCCTGTCCTACCAACACCAGCACTGCAGAGGCGGGAACATATACCAGGGGGTCATTTGCACAGGGTTTAAACTTTGACTTGGTCTACTGGGGGTCTCCCCCAAGTATGACTCGGCATTTATGCACAACACCTGATAACACTTGGGAATATTGCAATGTTATAGGAAAGGAAAACTGAGGTCCCATGCCAGTTGCATGTAACTGCAAGTTCATGGACAACAATGTGTTTGTGGCAACGTAATACACCAGCCACACTATGTGCAACACAGCAATGTCACATTGAATGAAAGAGAGAGGAAATCATCTCCTAAATGCCGTGTTCCATTACACCTTACCTACAGTGCACTAGTAGAGGACCTCTGTGGGCCTTGTGGTCTTTCATAACCATCTTATGGAAGTTGAGTATGGAGGTGGCATAGTCAGGTACTCCGTGGTCTGGCCAGGCTGTGTAGTGGAAATGATTCACCTTCCTGGTCTTCCCTGAGAGCTGCAGACAGCAGAGATACTTCAAGTGGGGTATAGGGATGGTAAGAAACACCAAACAGAACAAAATTTGGTGGTGATACTGACAGGAACAATGAGTACATACTATTGGCAGGAGAAGGATACAGGGAGTGTGTATGTGTGCTTATACTTCCAAGTTGGTTCAGACCTCTTTGTTACTACATACATATAATCTTCTGCTATGGGGATCAAATTTACTGCTAAATAATTATACTAGACTTGGCCAGTAACTAACTGATCTACTGCTTGTGCAAAATGTGGACCCAGTACTCTGTCCCTAATACCTCAACACTGAGTGTTCTGATGGTGTAGTCAGCGAGGGTGAGTTGGTGAGTGATGGATACGTGGAACGGCCCGAAATCCTGAGACCCAGAGGACGGCCAGTACTGCTCACACTTTGTCTTCTTCCCCTCCACCAGGTTGGTGATCATCACCACTGACGGCACTTTCTCCTGCCACACAAAGCATGACTCGGCATTTATGCACACACCCGTCAACTATACTACTGGAAGTCAACTATACTACCGGGGATTGGCCCTGGGTGGGTAGTATTGCAGTTATAATCAGCTCTCGAGAGTTTCTGACCCCTACCCATCTTGTTATTAGTCCAGCCCCCTTCATCCACGCCCCCCAAGGCCTGGCCTTTCACGCGCATGCGCCTCGGCAGTTGACATGCAAGGCATTGCAACACTCCAGGATCTCTGGAGTAAATAACATCATGAAGTGAACTAAAACTAATACACACTTGGCAACAATTGTGTTGCATGAGCTTATAGCTATAACACGTCTAAGAAGCAAAATTTGAGTATGTTTCAAATGAGTCAATATACGCCAAAAGAGCTTCAAATATCGACTTATACTGTTCCTGCAAGTGGAAAAATGTGTGTCTGATCAACATTTATAAATGCTAGTACTCATACCAAAGTTTGTATGGCTCCAGGTTTCTGAACTCTCATGGCCTTGACCACCTGGAACACATCCACCACTCCCTCTGTCTTACACCTCTCAATGGTGGTGGCCACACCACAGAATATGGCCGATCTACTCACTGTGTTACTGCAGATAATTGAAAAGAGGATGCGAATAATGGTGCAAATGTAGGAGGTTCCAAACCCACTCTTTATTACTCTTGTGCAAGGCATACTTTGCATGTGTTTGTGCAAGGTGTATGTACCTCGCATGCGTGCATGTGAAAACTATGAGGTAGAAAGGCAAAGGCACAACAAACAAATCAACTACACCTAGGTCAGCTCTTTTTTTCCAAGGAAAAATAAAGAGCTGCCCTAGGTGGGATTTGAACCCACGACACTCTGCAGTCTAGGCGAGCGCTCTACCAACTGAGCTACCAGGGCAACCCAGCTGGTAGGGGTTCGAATCTACAACACAACACAACACAAGGCAAACCTCCAACCACTGTGCTATGGCACAGTAAACTCTCACTTAGCATGTGCACACAAGCAAGCAAGCAGGCAACTAGATATTTAATGGCCACGCCAGATTGTGACACATTTAGTCTGCTGCATACGTGGGCATTT